CGATTTCGGCGATTTAATAATGAGGCTATCGGAGATGGAGAGTTAACTACCGGATGCAGTAATATTTCTGGAGCTGTCCGGCAGCTAGCTGGTGACGCTTGACCTTGCAATATTGCCTAATATTATGAAAACGTACCGACAGCTACTTAGGTTTTATAAAACCACGTACTCTACCTGCAGCGACCAGGGTTTTTTCTCTCTCCCACGCCTCGGAGACTCTATTGAGTGGAATGGTGTGTATAACAGCCATAGGTGGGGCGGGAGCTCCCGTGGAGCTAGTATATACATGAGTTAAGGGCGTCGTCGATCGAGTCATCAGCTTGCGAAAGTCATCGAAGGACCGGGAGGGCTGCAATATTGCGTACGGTAGCGGAGATCAGCTCGTGTGTCTCTAAAGCTGTGGTTTGGCAACGTTGATGAATATTCAGGGGCATATTTCATTAATAGCTGGCTAGCTAGGTGTGGCTCGAGCTCTCCGATATAGCTATAGCTCTCTGATATATACATGTATTTAGCTCTCGGAGAAATGTCAGCTCATAACGATGGGAGTTGGCCAATTGGAGGGGGAGATGACTCATGAACATCATGGCCGTTTCATGTGAATTTACTTAATGGGGCTAGCTAGCTAAAATTTAAATGCAGAGTGATCTCGCGAGAGGAACTTTCTCTCACACTAACCCTTTGTAGCAGTACATACATGTATGTACAGCTACATGCAAACTATCAGACTTCTCCCCCCCCCATATTTAGAATTCTGAAACATGTTCAATATGAATCTGGTTTTGAGATAATTGCATGTAGTACCTATTGCCAGGTTAGGTAGCCCATGGTTGCAGACGTTACAATTGTTATTCAAATTTGCAAAGCCTGTAGTTGTTACACGATATATATACATGTAGTAACTATTTCGGCGCTGCGAGCTACATAGTTGATCGGTCTTTAGATACTAAATAGGACTGACAGTAACTACTGCCCGACATATCATCCCTTAAAACCTATGTCCGTGCTTACCCTTTGCGTATGCGACCCTCGTGAACCCGAGTAAGTATTAATTTCATCCCATATGCCATTCAACAGGCCTAAGTAAGACCGAGTGATACCCCATGACTCATATGCCAAGACCGTTTACAGAGCCTCACTTTTGCCCCTCCATGCCCCGCGTGCGTCCTACAAAAAAAAAAAAAAAAAAGGCATAATTTACGTCATACAAAGGGCACTACCTCCGAAACCTCTCACAACTCCCCAACCAACCCCAAACCTCTCCGCTAATTCACCCCCAAGAAACAATACAAATGGCAGAGTCACTCCCACAGTACACAGCCGCTGCAACCCCGCAATACGACTACGTCCCCAACCAAGGCTACATCACAACCCCTGACCGCTTCGCCGACCCTGAGCAGGCAGAAGAGATATCACAGGCAGTGGCGCCCACACAGCTCCAAAAGGAATACGACAATGATGATGACGAGGAGGAGGACGAGGACTCATATGATGAGCTGTTTGACGACGAGCTAAACGACCAGGACTGGACAGAGTCCGGAGGAGGCGGAGGTGGCGACTTTACAAAGTCGTACAACCGGCAGCGGAAAGCGCTTGAGGCGACTAACGCCGCAAGTGCAGAGGGTGTGGTCAAGGGGAACAAATTGAAGCCAAAGGCAAACGTCAAGGCACGCGTCGACGACCAGATACAGAGCTTGACCAAGTTTGCGGCCAGGATCAAATTGGGGGATATGGAGAGTGGAATGGGGGGTGCTAGTAGGTTTGTGTTTCCCACCTTTTTGCCCCCCCCTTTCCCCTCATTGAAGGAGGTTTTATTTGCTTTTTTGCTTATTGCGCATTGCATTGCGTATTGCGTGCTGTGCTACTGCTTTGTGACATTGGTATTGGTACTGTTACTGATACTGGAACACTGCCTACAGAACCACGGACAAATCCGAGCGCGCAACTTCTGAACAAGTTCTAGACCCCCGCACCCGCATGATCCTCCTGCAGCTGATCAATCGCTCAACCATCCACACCATCAACGGCGTCCTCTCCACCGGAAAGGAAGCCAACGTCTACCATGCTCTCTCCGACTCACCAGACTCGTCCTCACCCCTGCATCGCGCGATCAAGGTCTACAAGACGGCCATCCTAGTCTTCAAAGACCGAGACCGGTACGTTAGCGGCGAGCACCGCTTTCGCAATGGATACAACAAGTCCAACCCCCGCGCCATGGTCAAAATCTGGGCCGAGAAGGAGATGCGCAACCTCAAGCGCCTCTGGGCCGCCGGTATCCCGTGCCCCGAGCCCCTCTACCTTCGCCTGCACGTCCTCGTGATGGGCTTCATTGGCGACAAGAAGGGATGGCCAGCGCCGCGTCTGCGCGACGCTCCCATCGATGACGAACGGGTGTGGGATGCACTGTACCTTGAGCTGCTGGGGCTCATGCAGGCCATGTATCGGCAGTGCCGTCTCGTGCACGCCGATCTGAGCGAGTACAATGTTCTATATCACCAGAAACGGCTGTGGATCATTGATGTGTCGCAGTCGGTGGAGCACGATCATCCGCGATCGCTCGAGTTCCTGCGCATGGACATCAAGAATGTGCGCGATTTCTTCCGCAGGAAGGGCGTCGAGACGGTGCCGGAGAAGCGCACGTTCGAGTGGATCACAAAGGGCGACGAGCCTGTGGAGACGCTGCAGAGGGGCGGAGAGCTCGAGACGGAGGTCGACATCGAGGTCTACAGACAGGCGTATGTGCCCAGGACACTGGAGGAGGTGTACGATGTCGAGCGAGACGCAGAGAAGGTCGGGCGCGGAGAGGGCGCAGATTTGGTCTACAAGGACCTTCTGGCAGAGAAGAAGGTCGTTGAGGACGAAGATGAAGGCGACAGCGAAGACGAGGAAGGCGACAGCGGCGATGATAGCGAGGAGGGGAGCGACGGTGAGGACGAGGATGGTGCGCCAAAGCTTCACAGGAAGGACAGAGACGCAGACAAGAAGCCTCGAGGGAAGAAACACGAAGACAAGGACGAGAAGAAGGTTATTCCCCCTCCCCCCTCCCTCCTAAATTCCTATCTACCGTAGCAATCCGCACCAAACATCTTCTGGGAAACCCCCTGTCATGGCTTTTCCCCCGGCTCTCTCCTCCTCACTCAGCTTTAACCCCCATTCCAAAAGCCACATCGCTGACCGTCCTAACAGGATCACAAGAAAAAAGTCAAAGAGGAGAAACGCGAGGCGCGAAAAACCAAAATGCCTAAACACGTCAAGAAGAAGATGATTAGCGGCAAGAAAGGGAAATGACACCACCACCACCACCACCACCATCAAAATAAAATAAATAAAGACCAACGTTTTGACTCATGAGCAATCATTCGGGCTCCCGGTTGTGTTATCACTAGTATTAGCTAGCATGAACAACTATACCTTTTATATATTTAGAACCGCCCGGTTCCTATTGGTTGGTCCAATCCCGTTAATACATCAAGATGTAGCCTTGCACAAAACCAACGCAACAAACGTGCACCTATGTACTATGGCCATGTAGTAGTTTTGAAACAGCAGACGGTCAGTCAATTTGAAAAAAGTCTTTTGCACAGCACAGACTCTGTTCTAGCATCTATACCCCCATCCCAAGGAATGTATGAGTATTAGCTTGCCGACTATGGAGACATTTTTCCAGCCTAAGGCAACTTGTATGTGGCGTGCTATCAACGAGTAGATTCAATACTCCATTGCCAGCTCCCAGCCTACCTAATACTTATCTCCCTTGAACATCCTTCTCCCCATGCTCAAGGCCCGAGCTCAGTAACGAGCTGAAATAGACATTCTGCGTTGCGTATTGCTGTAGATCCTCTCTGCATATTTCAAACTGGTCCTCTTATCGATAGGCAGCTGCACTGCCTCGCCCCCCAGCAGAGTCATGGACACCACTGTATTTTGGCTGGTAATCAATTGGTTGTGACGAGATGACTTCGGTTAAGGGAGCCCTGTTCAGGCAGTTTGACTGTTAATTGGCCTAAGGTGACTGGCTTTACCGTGTAACTGGTTGGCTGTCTTGGCGAGCTCATCTCTCTCGACTTCATGCGTCCGCATTAAAAAAAAAAAAGGGACCATAGAGCTCGGGAAAGAAAAAAAAATGTCCAATTTATTAGAAGAATATGAAAGCGAATTGTAAGAAAAGAAAAACCCCATGAAAAAGAAAATGAAAAAAAAAAAAAAACCCCCGGGCTCCGAGCTCCTGGGCTCCGCCAGAATCCTCAATGTACTATATTTGTGTTCCCCTCCGCGGGTTCCCTATACAGTTTTGAAAATGTAAAAATGAAAATATGAAAAGAAAAAATCAAAAAAAACTCCTGCTGCTCCCCCACAACCCCCCACGTCCCCGCCCTCCCGCCCCCGCTCGCCCGCTTCCTCGGCCGATATGGGGGAAATGAAGTAGAGAAATAGAACCAAAGAAAACCCCCATATGCAATAGTACTTGTAGGGTATACCCAGCACCCAATAGAGAGGAAGAGAATGCCGTCAGTCTCTCATCAGCTCTTGGGTGTAAGCCACAAAGTACTGGATTCAAACCATGCCCATATGCATCCCAATGCCAATTTTTTGTCCCAGAAAAGAAAAAAATGAGAAGAGAAAAGAATAATAAAAACGATAAAAGCAAGCCAAGAAAAGAAAAGAAAAGAAGAGAAAAGAAAAGAAAAGAAAAAAACAAATTCCAGAAACAAAGGCCGCTGTATGACCAGATTACAACTGCCTTAGTCACTACTCGCAACATCGCAATATCATCGTGATCACCGTTAGTAGTAAACAGTAATAGCAGCTGCTTCCGACAACCTCCACCACTTACTACAGCCCAGCCTTTCTAAAGAACCCATCACATGCCCTTGCGTCCACAGCCTGCATCGCGGCCTCAAAGAACTGCGGAAGATATCCCTCGTCGCCCGCCTTCTGGAACTCGATTGTGTGTAGATTGATCCATTTCTTCACATAAATCATTGAATACTCGATCGGGTTCAGGTCAGGTGAGCACGGTGGCAGGTAGATGAGTTTGCACCCCGCAGCCTCCACTAGCTCCCGTATGTCAGCACCACGATGGAACTGTGAGTCGTCCATGATGATTACGCTGTTTTCTCCCGGGAAAGGGTTGCATAGAGGTAGAAGAGTGTCTCGCAGGAAGATATAAAAGCTTTCGGTGTCCCACGGGGGAGCAGGCGTTGATTCCACTATGTCATGGCACAAGAAACCTAGAGAAAAGTTGATTAGAAATTTGTTGACATGAAGTGGGTGTATATAAGATATTTACCATTAATAGTGAACGCCGGGAGGATCGAGTATCTCTCATGTCTCCTTCCCTCCTTATGGGTAAGCGCCGGTCCTGCCGGGGCCTCTTTGGTAAAACTCTGGTTAGATGGCCCCGGGTTAGTATTCTCACGCGGCGGTGAAATGGGGTACCCTAGTGTAGGAGGCGATTCGCGCTCACGATGTCCCCCATTCACGCCAGAAGCACCACTGCTATTGGCCTCGGTGTTGCTGGAATGCTTTGGCGGAAAGTCACGATAGCCCCAGATCCTCTTACGGTCACCAACCTTCTCGTTCGCCCCACTCTCGTCCACAAAAACCAGCTGCGAACGGCGGAACTGGCGCATCTGCTCCTGATGGTTGTCGCGCGCCACAGAGTTCCGCTGCCGTGCCTCTTTGACGGCTACGGGTTTGGACCACTTGGCTTCTTTGAGGCGCCGTGAGATTGTGGGGAGACTGAACTTGCGGTCGTAGACGTCCTCGAGCTCATCGCGCATCTCATCAAGGTACATATCTGGCTTTCCCTCGAGGAGCATCAACAGCCACTGTATGTTTGTTTCTAGATTAGCATATAGATTAAGAATAATAGAGTCGATCGAAGGTTGATGTATACCTCCATCATATGCGGATCCAGCTCCCGCGGGCGACCCTCGTTCTCAGGCTTAGGCGCATACACTGCGCCGTACTTGCGGACACGTTCTTTTGCGCGGTAGATAGTTCGTGGACCAGCGTCCGCAATTTCAGCGGCCGAGGCTATGGGAGAACCGTCGAGAAACTTCTTGAGTCCCAGCTCGAGAAGCTTCTTGTTCTTCTTTGCAGGCATAGGTAATAATAGGATCGATATGGGCGTGTAGATAAAAAGAGGAGGAGGGTGATGCGACTGAATTCGAGAGGTACGCCCTTCCCACTTTGCTTTTTCTTTAGGTATAAATGAGTGTTTTTATCCTCCCCTGAGTTTTAAGTTGACGGAGGAATTCGTGCTTGTTGATCTGTGAAGGTATTTGTTTGGCTTATATAGTGGAGGGCAGTTTCCTTTTGATAGTACTTTTCTTTTTTAACCTTTTCTTTCTTTCCGGGTTTTCTTTTTAGGGCCTAGCTAAGGCTTGATTGGATTGTGACTTTGTTTTCGAATCGATATTTCTAGATCCTTTTTTCTTCCTATCAACTCAAAATTAGCAATTCATCTTTCGTATGACAGCTAACTATAGTTTTAAACCGCCAGCCCACTCTAGCATGCAAATAAGCCAGAATGAGGCAATTCCATACCTTCAGGAATAGTAGTGGTAGTAGTGGCAGCAGTAGCTAGTAGCAATAGTAGCAGCAGTGGTGGTGGTGGTGGTGGTAGCAGTACCGAAACAAAATGACGACTGTTATGAAAATTGAGGGCAGCACAGAGCGTGGGGAAATTTAAGCAGCAGATGAACGGAAGAAACCAAGCGTCCCAATTAACTAGTGCGAGAAGAATGTAGCTAGTAATACGTAGGACAAAAAATACCCTGGCTAGTTCACAATGGGGTGGGAGAAGGCGTCCAAAAGAAGGCGTCGACCATGATCGGGAATGCAGGCAGCTGGGGGGGGGATCATACCATGATATATATATACACCACTTTTAGACATGAGTACATCTGAACTAATACTCCTCCAACCTACGCTACCCTGACATGCACACCCCCCCCCCCCCCCCCCAGCTGCCATTCAAATTTCAAATTGACAATATTTCCGTACATAACTAAGATCCCCCCCCCATGGCCGGCCCATCTTGGAACCACTACAATACCCTTTACAATATTACGCTAACAATATTAAGAGACCAGCATTGATTGAATTGGCCCTCTCTCTCCCTCTCCCGGCCAGTAGGTAGGGGCCCAACAGTCACAAACTAAACAACTGATCAGGAACCGCCGGGGCGCGAATGAAAAAAAAAAAAAAATCTCGACCACACACAGTTATATCGGATTTCATAAGAGTGAACGGTAAGGCCTAGAACTTGTTTGGGGAGAGAGGACCAAGGAACAGAGAGGGTCCCTGGAAAAATCCCAATTACAACGGGCGCGTGGAGGGCCTAGACTCTTGCGGTGTGTGCCTAACGCGATAGGGGAGTGTAGGGTTCCTTTTTTATTTATTATTTCTTTTTATTTTTTATTTTGCAGACTCGAATTAAGACAGAGAGATCAATAGACAGTGATCAGTGAGTGAGTCTCGTAAGTATAAGACAGAGAGAGCGTCATGCATAAATGAACCGTCTTTCCTACTACCTGCCTGTCTGCGTACGTACGTGTGTCTCTAGAGCAGCAGGGAATATCGAATTAAAGAACAACCGACAAGAGTTTTGAAATTAATGCGAATCGGTATGTATCTTACTTGTACACACATACATACGATGGCACCCCCTAGTAGCTACAAGCTATATGCTCTATGCAACAACGCCCGCGCCCCCACACACAAGGAGAGAAAGACTCACTCCGACAAATTGGGAGCTTCGATTACGTTTAATGCCGACGCCCATGCCATGCAGAAAGCACTGATAGAGACCGAAATCAATTATTAGCGGTGCGGTACCGGCGTCCCTTGTCAGTGCTCGACAAACTTCCTCGATCCTCCACAAAGGTTGCGTTGGAAGAAGAAGGAGGATGAGAAGCAGAGAAAGGGCAGGAAGAGGTTAGACTATGTTGAGATGTAGATTCGCTATATTTCAAGCCCCTACGTGCAATACCGTACCCCAGCCCCGTAAGGCATTCATTCATCAATCAGCCCTAGCCTGATTGATCTGTTCCACCCCGAACCCATCGACTCGACCACCCTCTTGGACCAAACAAACGCACTCGCCCAGCCCATGGGCCCAACCGACCCCAACGTCGTGTCGCAAAACCCACGAGTGACGAACCATGAATCACTACATGTATCCTATACCAAATCTCTCTCCCTCCGAGACAGACGCCAACAGGCGCTTAAAGAAATTACCATAGCAATTCCGGGGGCCCAGTGTATTCTAGCCCCTCTGTCTAGAACCGACCTAAGCGCCGATGTCAGAAAAGCTTGTTTTTCTGGAACGAGCCTAGGGTAAACGTAATCTTGGGTATTGTAGATCTGGGACTGGTCTCGTGATAGGGGGTTGTTGGTGGAGAAGGGTGAACGACTTCCCCCTACACGACCCTTCACTAGACTCCGATGATGCACATTCACTCTATTCTCTACACTTCATCAACTACACTACTAGCACCCCCCCTGGCTTGCTCCGCCTCGCTTCTTCTTCTCCGGCTGGCATGGATATATGGAAAGCTTGTATCAACACCCCTCATGCCGCGTACCCGTACGTCCCCTCTATCCGTCGTTGAGTAATCGACCACGATATCACCATATCTACATTCCTACTTCCTGCCTAGTTTTCTTCTTTGCCGGATGGACTAATGAAAATAGAACCATAAAAAACCTCACTCAGGGACGGATGCCTTGCCGCGGATAATTGTATGGTAGGGTACGAGGAGAATGATCCTTGATTCTTTTCAAGCCTTTCCAAGGGGAACGAGCGTTCCCATATTGCATGGAAAAGGAGATCCGTGTGTCTCTTTGGGTGGTTACAGGTGATGGATGATAAGCGTATAGACGGTATGTGCCTATTATCCCCTCGTTGACGGGAAAAGGGTCGCTACATGGTTCGAGAAAATATATAGAAACATGCAGAGTATAATGCAGGTCGAAAATTTCGGTACTGGTGGCAATGACCCGAATCTTTGAGAAGAGAAGAGCAGGAACACTTGAGTCATCTTTCCATCCTTGGGGAGCTGCAGGAACCACTTGCTGTGTTGTGCTTTTTTCTCTTGGGGGGCGGGGGGGCGGGGTATGTCTGATGGGAGAGTCGAAAATCGATATATTTCGAACAGAACTACAGAATTGATGCAAGAACAAAGGCTCAAGGACTATTTGGGTTTCCAGGCTTATAGGAACCATTTAAGGCATTCTAATATGTACGTCTATACCAAGATCTGTAGAGGCTCGAGGATAAACCGCCTCAAGACCTCCCGATTGCCAGTAGCGGCGCAGCGGCAGCAGGAACCCATTTAAGGCACTCTGTGTGTAAATACGCAGCCTGCATTAAGAACTATGAAAACTCGTTATCTTCTTCTAGATATTTCGATAACTGCAGTAGAGGCCCTGAAGATCAAGTCCATTATTGGCTGCATCTTTTAAGATCTATGCAACTGGAGATCTTTAACGGCGGCAAGATGCAACAAGATCAAAGCCAGGACCCACTCCTAACTAGGCTCCAAGGCATTGGCTGTGGGAACCATATCTGCCTATTACAATTCAACAAATTCAATAACAGATCTGTGTATATCATCACGGGATTTACAACTTTTGGGATCCCCTTTCTTCCTTTCATACGGAACCATACACTGGGGATTATGGGCAAGTAAGAGGCCAGCGGAGACCACCTCTAGATCTGGAATAGTCACAACTAGAGCCTCGTTCTGATTAATAGAACATCTATTATACTATATACCAATGTGGAGGTCGCAAGGACCACTTATCATCTCTCGACAATCACAACTCGAGCTTCTCTTCCTCTTCGAAGCTTCGCCGGTTAGGAAACTATTGGTTACCAATTTCAACTCGGGCAACCGCATCGTTCTCGAAACCACACTATGACCTATCACTATAGCGTCGGTAACACCGGATCTCCGAAGGTTAAGGGTGGCAAGGACCCTGCATAATTTTGAAGACTTACCAGTTATATCAGCATTACTTACGAGTCTCCCATAGAGAGTGCAATTTTATATATTGTACAAAGATAACACAGTTAACTAAGGCAGAATCAAGTGGTAAGAATTAAGTAATCTTTACCAGGCGCTGACTTGGTTTGAAGGTACGTGTCTATATCGACTATCAAAACCTGGTCCCGTGTTCTCTCCGTCTATATGTATGCGAAGCTTATATTACCCCATACCACCGATGGAATATGCAAACTGATGATCTACTTAAATAAATCATGCTCCACAGCAATTCTCCATGAATCAGCTGGCCGTAGGGTACAGAAGAAGAAAAAGAAAGAAAAAAAGGGCATTAATGCCATGCTTCTAGTGCCAAAAGGAACTTTCCCCAGAATTCCATAGATTTGCAAAAGCACCACTCCCGCCAAAAGGAATTTCACCCCATAAAATAAATTCTACCTAGCTTCCGTAAACTAATTCCCCATGATCAGGTGGAGATTTTTTTCTTCTTCGGAATTAATTGAATCTCGCTTTTGCACCACTGCAGACTCATTGGATTTTAGAGGCGCAACTAGCTGCTCGTAGTACTTGTAGCCTGACTTTTATCTCATGATCCGAGAAAAAGCATTCCACGTAGTTACCTATGATTACCATGCTCTATCTCCGAAAATACCGCAAAATGGCTTATGAAAAAGTGTAATTGTATGTATGTAATTAAACATCTCCACCTCGCCGACTAGGCCTCGCTACAAAGGACCTAACAGAATAGAATAAAAATGAAATAGGAAAGAAAATACGAAGGCTAAAAAGAAAGATATTAAAAGTAGCTTACAATACCACAGGCGGCGTAGGCGGCGCTCCTCTACACAAAACCACCAAAAAAGAATCTCAAGGCTGCAGCGCTGAGCGAGCGTTCAAGAAGAAATATTTTCATATCGCTCGCCAATTGCAACGTCGATCTTAGACCGCCGGCTTAGCAACAGCTTTTCCATCTATGCATGTGACGACACCCCACCACCACCAAGAAAAATGAAAAAAGCACGCCATCTACGCACGTATTCTGTGCGTATGAAATATTCCCGGTTCGCGTACCCTTCAGACCAGCCACCAGATCCTCCGCGTGGGTTGGTGGTGATAGTTGGTGACAGAGAATTGATAGGTAATGATCAACACATGATTGATTCCGTAATCTTTGTAATCATGGATTATCACTCGACACTCACTTCGCCTCGCCCGCCCGCTGAGCCACCGATTGCGTTCCGTCAAACACTCAACAATTTTCCCGTGAAAACAGTCATTTGCCCTCCAAGAACTGCATGTTCACAATCACCTTTTATCACCGCGTGCGACAACGTCCACATCACCAAAGCACCATTATGATGCCGGTCTCATCACCATGATCATGGTGGGTGACTAATAAAAATTAGAAGAGTCAGACTCGCTCAGACACCGGCATGACAATTCGCGACTCGACTTATTTTGCACTGTAGCTAAGCATGCTAGTTAGCGAGGTCTGAACCTCTCAAGTCTGTAAGAATACACACCTTGAAGATAGAGAAAAAATATGCGTTGTACACGACGTCCCTGCATGAGGGTGCCGACTGAAACGGAGAGATTTCTGCCCCATCGGCCCCCCTGCACATGAAACAATGCCTTTGTAGTGCTAGTGGTGGTGATGCATTAATATGCGTGACAACACAGAATTAATGATGATATGGCAGTTTCATATGTACAGTTCGGAGGGTTATTAGCTTAGAAAGATAACGGACTTTAAGTAAGGTTGATTTCATTTTATCATGATGATGTAGTGTGTTGCGGGTTGTGGGTGGTAGTGGGTGTTGGGTGGTGATAGTGGGCGCGGCGTGGTGGGGGTATTCGGAGAGGTCTAGTACTGTAGATTCACAGCTGGGTGTACAATTTATCCTACTATATGTAGTAATATAAATATATGTAGCCTCTTGAGTACTGCGCGTGAATTAATTGAAAACACTAGTACCAGTGGTTACGGTGCGCAGCCCGGCGCGCACAGCTCAAATAACTCAATTGTCCTATCACGACTTGCGTGGGATGGTAGCTTATAATTAGAAGCCACCTGGCTTGCACTTTGCTCTTATTCGCGCAAGCCACTTTCTTTAAGTAAACACACGTTTCTATGGAGCTACCTACTCTAGGTAGGCAGTATTGTAATGAGATATTGTCACGTCTATATATATATAGCTGGTGAAAATAGAAATAGTAAGTCCCTTCTCATTGGTTTAACATATCCCTATCTGTCAGAGCTCCAACTAGAGTAACTAGGTAACTCAGATCAGTCGTACTTTCAATCGTTCTGCCACATCACAAATCTACATCCAGACTGACCCAGAGTTATATGGCAGAATGAATACTTATTTACTGTATTTAATAAAGGGCGGCGCAGGGCAGACTCGACCTAAACCCAAAACCCCAAATCCCGAACCTAAATCCTATATCTCATCCCAAATGTCAAAACCCAAATCCCATACCCAAATCTAAGTTTCAAGCCTCTCTAATCTCTCACGTTCTCACTTTCTCACTCACACTCTCACTCACTTTCTCATTCACACGACCACTGCGCCAAAATAGATTAATCCTCATCTCCACTGATCTTGCTCGATCACCGACCTCACCTCCGACTCCGACTCTCTCGCGTGATGAGCAAGGTCCTGACTGTGTGTAATAGCCAAGCTATATATACTTCCGGACAGGGGGAGAGGTCCGGGGGAAGGGGGGAGATCGAAGGAGAACATCAATCAGATAAGCTTAAGCTTAAATCTCCCATGCCTGCCAGCGTAGCTCATGCACAGTTGCATAATTGTAA